GAAAATATTCTTTTGAATTTCGAGTTTAAGAACGAGGTAAAAAGGGCTAATTTGCAAGTAAACAAAAGAATACTTAAATGGCGGCCATTTTGGAATAGCGTGTATAACATTTCTGAAAGAAGTTATGTGCGTCATATCAAAATTTTTAAGATGACTGTAATGTAGCTCCAAAATTACTTTAACACCCATCAGACAGCAAAATACATTCGAAAACAGAAATGTCATACGCTATAATTAAGAATATTCACAAGAATATTTTCAACCGAAAATCGGCAGAAAAATAAGCATATTCAGCGTCGGCCAGAAAAACAATGTTCTTATAAAGAAAAAGTGTATCAAGGAACATATAGAATTTATTTCGTTATAGTGGTAAATCGATATCATCCAAATTTCATAATATCCTTCTTGCGACGTAATTTTCGATTCGGTGAAATGACGGCTTTTGAAAATATTTTTATGCTCAACAGAAAGCCTTTAGTGTGCTCTACACAAGTTGAAAAGGTTTGTAATGTCAAATGGCGTCATTGCGTCCCCCATCTTGGATCCGCCAGTTTGGATTTCACAATTTTCTCAGAAAGCTAGAAAGACATTATTCTGCAATACTGCTAAAAAAAAAACTCGAAAAGTCGATCCCGCCATCTGATTGTTGAGAATCAATAGTTCTGAACTTTTAAGATNCAATGTTCTTATAAAGAAAAAGTGTATCAAGGAACATATAGAATTTATTTCGTTATAGTGGTAAATCGATATCATCCAAATTTCATAATATCCTTCTTGCGACGTAATTTTCGATTCGGTAAAATGACGGCTTTTCAAAATATTTTTATGCTCAACAGAAAGCCTTTAGTGTGCTCTACACGAGTTGAAAAGGTTTGTCATGTCAAATGGCGTCATTGCGTCGCCCATCTTGGATCCGCCAGTTTGGATTTCACAATTTTCTCACAAAGCTAGAAAGACATTATTCTGCAATACTGCTAAAAAAAAAAACTCGAAAAGTCGATCCCGCCATCTGACTGTTAAGAATCAATAGTTCTGTACTTTTAAGATTGTACTTTACATTATAGAGCGTTTTCACTCACGTGGCCAGCACTTGTGCAAATTTATTGGAACAAAGGGAAGTTTTTACATGAGAAAAGAGTTGAACTCCCACAGGATTGGTTTTGTACACCAAGATGGCCGCCGTGTCATTGTTTTGGAACACCAATATGGCTGCCGTGACGCCATGTTAAAACGCCCCATAGGGTAGTTGACTTAATTGGGTCAAGAGAAGCAAACTACAGTTTTATACAACCTCAACTACAGCTATTGGTTGCAACATAGGCAACATGACTTTATTTGCAGGCCGAGTCTTCATCCGAATCCATGCATGCACAGTGAAGAAACAGGCACGCTGGCAAGAAATATAAAGGTTGAATCATCTTGTTTATGCCAGAACTTTTCCACAGTTGATCATGAAGTTTCGCCAACTGCTCGCGCTTTGTTATTATTGCTTGATCTCAGGCTAGGATTTCAAGAAATGCTGCGATAAGACTGTTATTATTTTTAAAGTAGAGTGTACTGTTTACATGAAATGGCTGTGCTCGAATATTTACGCAAGCAATACTTACCCAAGCTACACGTTTCAGAATGTCTTCTTCTTGAAGTCAGATTCGGCTGTGGGTCTTCCACAAAGATTAAAACTGCCGATAATGAACCATTAATATGTGCTACAGTTGTCACCTTCAAAAAAGAAAACATGGGCGGAAGGAAAATCACTTTCGGGCGATATGCACGTGGCGGTGATCGAACTAAATTTGCATAACATTACAATGTACCAAAAGCAGCGTGTATTTTAATTTAACTACAAATGTTTGCCAAAGTTAGTCATGTTGTCAATTTAAAAGGAATATAATCTTGTGAAAAACAAATTTCAAGCATCTTTATTGACGAAAAATGTTTCCATTCGCTTATTTTTTGTTCTTGATGAGGGTCGCTGACCAAGTTCCATGTTGGTTTCATGAACGACGAATTTAATAAAATATATCCCACGTTTATGTCTCTCGACGGGGTGCTTTTTTCGGGCCGCGGAAAAGACTTTCGCACTACAGAATATAGAAATATGGGCTATCAGAAAATTTTAGTTTCGACTTCAAATTCAATGTACCAGTGAGCTTTGGATGCATGGTATCGGAATTAGCTAAAGTTTGCCCTCTCGCTCACAGCTTCGATGAAGGTACTTGTATCGGCCTAAAATATTGTAACACTTGGGGCTTTTGCTAATAAAATTACTGCTTTAGAAACAGCAAGACATGCCCTATGAGCTATCCAAAGTATATTGATAGATAAAAATGGCGTTGATTGTACGAGAGAAAAGAAAATGCACAATTTTCAGCCATTTTCGGCTGCGGCAGGCAGCTAAAATGGCCATTTTCGAATTTTCCTCGATTTCGAAAACACTAAAGCGCTTCGGGACCTTTGAATGGTATTTTCGATATCAACTCGCTATAGAGGTTATTTGGGCAAAATATGAAGAAATCCGAAATTTTACGTCTGTCATCTCATTCTCGATATTTAGAGGAATTGGCTCTTAATTACTTACTTCAAGACTTGCAGCAGGGTCTTTTTCATTGTCGACCCAGGCTATTAGTTAACGCAAAACTATTGCCACAAGTAAGTTGAAATCCATCAGTCAAATTTGTTTAAAAAGAAGATATTCTTCACAGATCGTGCATATGCTAGTAAGAACATCTTCCCTACCTCTGGATTTTATGCCAGTTCCATGACAGAATTATAAGACATTAAGAATTTGCATTTAACAAGTCTGTTGTTTAAATAGCAATCTTCATTGAGGCACGTCTAAATTAAGAAGCTTAAGCACACAGTCGACGTGGCATGCTGATAAGTAAATCTAACTGGAATGTTTTTGGTTTTTTTTCGCTTTTTTCCCACCTATTCGCGGTTACGTTCTCGCCAAAACCAATGTAAAGTTAACGGAGTTAACCAAGAACCTGAAGACATTTTTCCACCTGCATGTACGGTGGCCTTAATTAAAATGGGTTATTAAAAAATAACGACGAATCTGCAGGCATCTGCCTTCCTACGTTGATTTCACTTAAGAATCCAATTAACACAAGTGACGCCAGAGAGTGATAACAAACTATCGTATTAATATCGCAAAAGGCCGCTCGTGCGTCAAAAGTAATTCCAAAGCAAAGATATATGAATCAAATCCACTCTTGAAAACCGCCATGAGCAAAATCCTTCCTTTGTATAAGGAAGGCGTTAATTGGACCGAAAAGCCTTCCAAATCTGCAGTTATAAAGCAAAAATGGAGGGACTTCGTCGAAAACTCCACTCTCCACGGCATGCATTGTATAATTTCGAGTCAAACAACCTTTCGCCGCATTATATGGACTTTG